GTTCAAAATATGTGAGAGTATCGAGTACGAGTTGAATTATCTTCTTGTTGTTCATTATTTTTCAAAAACAATTCCGTTAATTTGTAACTTTAGACTTTTATCATGTTAATAGCTTTCTGTTGTGATCAGTCATTGTCTCCGCATTCACATTTTCCTTTAATTTTATGCAAATAATAATTGTTAAAATATCATTTTATTTCTCTTGTTCACACGCTATTACTTTACATTCTAATAAAAAATTAGTACAGTTCATAGCTCCAAAGATCAAATGATTCCAGCGATATGTATGTACTCGTACATATAAAACACAATTGTCATTCACACCACTCTTTTATTCAAACACTCAAATTAAATACAAAAGGTACTTCATATTATAATTGTATTTATTTGTTGGGTAATTTGTCAACCCTATTGTAGATTGTAGGTGCGAATATCTGAGGCGAGTGCGTTTAGTGAGGGGGGGAGAGGTGCGGATGAGGGGAGGAGGAGAACACGCGCCGCGCCGCGGCTTTGTCCGCGCTGTAATCAACTTTGCTAAATATCTTGTGACTGTGAGCCTATTGCACTAATGTGGGGCTGCATTCATCTATTGTTATTTTGTTTATATCCATCTAATAATAAATACGTTTTATTTCATACAATTACAATAACAAAACAAACGTATGAGTCCCCGATAGAGGTTCCCTGTTGACGTTGCTCTTACAGGGTGAGTGGCTATCAGAAGCGGAACAATTTTTCTATCATGTTGATGTCAACCAAATTATACTAAGTGTAGAGTCCTCTGGCGTCTGTTGTTACTGCTCTCCTTGTCGCCGCTCACCTCACCGCCTCACCGCCTCACCGCTGGCCAGCGCCGGCGAACGTACAACTGCAATAAACAAACAAAACTGTTCTAATGGTAACCTTTATTTTGGACAGTTGTTTTTTATTATTCTCTGACACGCTGCGGCGGACATCAAACGCGGCAAAGCAATCGGGACTCAATGAAACACAAAAAAGTACAGAGAGCGCTCAGCGCAGAGAGGAGTATTGGGAGCAGAGAGCTGAGAGAGGAGAGCGTGGCTCGCCCTCTTGTTGTTTCTCTTTTTGTTGTGCTTTTGCAGTCGCCATGCAGGCTATGGCACCAGTTTACGTACATGTTGGTCGTTTACTTGTACTTGTTATATTTGTCTCTAAATGTAATCGGAAGCTGGTAAATCTGTTTACTTAATCTTAATAACAAAAGTGTATTATGTTAGTTGTTGAGTCAGCAACACGCTGAATGTAAGCTATTAGCGCATCAATTTTTAACAACTATTATAAACGCTGCGATCTCGTTACCAGGAAAAGAATTCAATAGCCGCCCCGGGAGTGTAATTATCGCGAAGAGGGCGCAGAAGAGGGCGCGGGAGGGCGGGGGCTTTGTATCGCGTAAATAACCGGCTCGTTTGTAGCCACAGTTAAATAGCGAAGCGTCGGCTAATTAGCCGTTAACTGCCCCTCGCCCGTTCACTTATAATTAAGAGTTTTAGCGTGCCGCCGCCACTCCACCTCCTCCTGTACTCTGCTGCACCTCCACCTCGCTCCTCCCGCCGCACCCCGCCACACCCCGCGCCGCTCCGCTTGTGTCCGCGCGGGGATTTGTTTTTGTTTTTCTCGAGTGCTTCTATATTTTTAATTAAATTGTTCATTATTTATTCTCCGACCGTTTCTACTTGCTATACTTTTTGTTCGTAGCACGTTCATAATTATTCACTTTGTTGGTTTACATTATTAACTGTACGAGTCTTTGAGTTGGAATATTTCTGACGAGTGACGAGTTTCACAAAAGTTAAATGTTCTCACATAAAAACCTTGTCGTTTTCTATTTGCACCCCGCCCGCGCCCCGCCCGCACCCCGCCCGCGCCCCAGCCACTGCTGCGTTGTGCAACCATCGAGATGTGTGCTACCTAAGTGTAGGTACTGATGTGACCTTCTCTAAAGTTATTTAGCAATAGAGAACAAGTTTTCAATATAGAAAATTGTATTAACATATTATGCGTATTAATGTTTATTATAACACCTCAGTGAGAGTGAAGATGGCGGCTGTATGTACCATAGCGAATATTATTATATCTAGTATCATCTAGTCATCCGTTAATTTAAACGTCTTATTTGGAATTGTCAGAGCGTGTCTTTTAGTGTAGTTACTAAAGTCGACTGATAAATAAAGAAATCGGTGAAATTTCTTGTCTAATGCCTGATTTAAAGTAGCGCTGGCATACAACTAGCATAATATAAACTCTAACTGGCGCCAGTGGGCCAAAACAGTCCATGACAGGGCAGCGCTACTATACTGTACTGGCATAAAATCACCAAGGTTATCTCGAGATAGGGTCGCTAGCTACGGCCAAGCGGGTTGTGTAGTGTAACACAATGGCGGCAGAGGGCGCCTTCAGCCGCAGGACACACTATATCTCCCGCACAAAGCGGCGACACACCGCGACACTCCGCGACACTGCGGGCAGCGCCGGGCGCCGGCATTGTGTTGTAGATTTATTGCACCTTCCACAACCCTCCCCCCCACCTCCTTTCATCTCCCTACAGGCCTGGCCTACACGTACACAGTGAGACGCGACGTTCCGCTAATAGGTATGTGCTGACCTCAGCACACGTTCTCCCCCAGAAGTTTCTCACCTCTCATCGCTACACTGACATACATTACGTGACATCAGTGGTCACCTGATTATTTATATGTATTCAAATAGCACAAATCAGCCATCAAACTGTATTACTGCGTGTAAACGGAGTCTGTTCGTGTCAGTAATTAAAGACGTGGTGTGAGATTTGTCAAATACATAATATATATAATTTTGTTTAAATCACTTTACGTTTACATTCTCGTGTGTCTGTGTGTAAGAGGAGAAACAACAATTTAATATTGCACTCACAAAATCACAAGGAGAACATATAAGTAGTGAAGTCGCTTCAAGTTTCAATAGATTTTTCTTCAACCACACTTTTAAAGCTTTTATAATAAATGCGACAGCGAAAAGAACCAGATTGAACTAACAGCAATATGTTTAAAATATGCTGTATTTAAACATTATTACAAAGAAATAAAATAAAACACAAGAATCTTAAAAGGTTCTTGTTATTGTTGAGGCCGCGACCAAATACTTTTTTATGCGCAAACGCACACATCCAGCCCGGCACAGTGGTCGCCGCGCCCCCCGCGCACCCCTCGCTCAATGTAATGCAAACTAAAAGTTCATTAAAATAATACTCTTTTCTATTTATTCAGTCAACAATACTGATTCAATGTTCGTGCGGAGGAAATGCTGGCCATTTTGAATGTAATTGTATGGAGGGAGTGAGCGAGACGCAATGCGTTGTATTATATTTGTATGGCGGCACATCTGCCCGCTTTGTGTTATGTTTATATTAATATAATTGTGCACAGCTCTCTCAACATGGCCGCTTTTTAATAAGCAAATAAATATATTTGTTTTTTTCTCTAGTGTTCATTCATTGAATGGACTCTGTATGGAATTATTGTTGTGTGAGAGGAGGAGGAGGAGGATGTTCACAACAATGTATTGATGCATCAAACATGTTTGTTTGTTAGCGCAGATAATATCTAAAATCCCGCTCATTTACACAGAAGCGTATTCTGTATGACGGTATACAGTATTGAATATTTTACGTTACAGAGATGGTATTTCAATGAAGAGAAATAAAAGACAAATTATTGTGAATTATGTTTGTGATGTCATAAGCAATCATCGGTGTAATTGTTTAATCGAGCGATAATTTCCGCGCAGACAATGTCCGGCAATCAGCTGTTGCAGACGCATTACGCGGCGACATAATTCATGCACCGACACCGACATGCCGACACGCCGACATGCCGACACGCCGACACGCCGACACGCCGGCAGGCCAGCGCACAATGCGGCCTCGTCCACGTCTCTGACAGCACATTATGTGCTCCTGTGTTATTGTCATTGTCATGATAATGATTTACATATGCAGTTTAAATATTAATGTGCTTTTACAAACGAAGCTCTTTACGAATGTGAAAATTCTACCACAGGAAGAGCACTTTTTCTCTGTTTTGATTCACTTGTTAACTACTCCTACAAGAGACGGAGAATGGTATTTACGATTATCCGCAAAGTACAGAACACTTTGCAGTCTTTACACCAAACACTTATTATACAAATCATAGAGTATATAATAGTTGTACATAATGTTGTATTCACTATTCTTTACTTCAGTTAATGTGAAGTTATAACCATTTGAAGCTTTCTTCTCCTTGTCGGTCTTGGCCGGCGGCCTCTGAGTATTTACGCTAGGCGTTGGTAACCAGTACCGGCCGGGGGTTGGTACCCAGTCTAGCATACCAACTATATCCATTATTATTGCATCGCTACTAAGTGAGTGAGTCCTGAAGTCACAGTCAGTGGTAGACAGTAGACCAGTACTGCGAGCTCAGCGCCCCCACTGCTACGTGCGGTGGTCGCGCCGGCTGCAGGCTACAGGCTACAAGTGCTTCGGCTTCATTTCATAAATACGATGCACACGCGAGCCTGTGGCGGGGAGGGCGAGGTGTGTGCGGGGTGTGCGGGGAGGGAGACGAGGCTGAAACAACAATAACTTGGGCCATTAAATTCTCACAAGCGACTGAAAACGCCGCGCTTTCTAATTGCTCGTAGCACAATGAGTGGCGCCCCCGCCCCCGCCACCCGCCCCGCCCTCACCCCGGGCCCCGGGGGCCCGCCCCGCCCTCACCCCGCACCACCCCGGGCCCCGGGGGGACGTATACAATAAAACAATTGCTATCGATACTCACACACGTAGTGAATTAAAGCATTCAGAAATTGTTCATTGTGAGAAAAATATTGTTTTAGTCAAACAGACATTAAAAACGTAATATTTGAATATAGAATGTCATTAACGCTGGGTAATGAATGTCGTAGAGTTAGTCTGCTACTGTGTTTTCATTGTCATGTTGTAATGTTTTTTATTTTGCCAACAGTTCAGAAGCGCGCCCGGCTGTCGGAGCACTGCAGCCCGCCGCCCGCCGCTCACAGCCCCCGCGACCAGCGCACGCCCGCGCCCGCGTCCCCGCCGCCCCCTCACTCGCCCTCGCCATGCCCCTCTCCCGCACCCTCCGAGCGCGATCTCGACGTGGAGGAGGAGCTCGAGGAGCAGCCGGAGAGCTCGCTCACTCCGGAGAATCTCTCCATGAAGGGGCGAGCAGACGACATGCGCGTCAAGCGCGAGCATGATGACAAGTGGGACGCACCGGAGATCGCGTACGGCTACCGGCCGCGGCGGGCCTCGCCGGGCGCGGGAGGTCTGGGGGGTGCACCGGCCGAGGAGGGCGGCGGCCACAAGTCGCCGGTGGGCGTGCTGCTGAAGGTATTCCCGCGCCGCAGCCGGCACGAAGTGGAGGGTGTGCTGGCGCGTTGCCGCGGCGACGTCCTGGCCGCCATGGAGGCACTGCTGGGCGAGCCGGGAGCGGAGGCGCCCTGCGCCGGCTTCCCGCCCAAGTCCGCCTTCTCCCCATTACCCGGTCAAGGGTTCAAGTTCTCTCCTTCGCGGCGGTTCCTGACGCCCCCGTACAGCGGCACTGGTTACCTGCCAGCCGTGCTTCGCCCGCCGGACTACCTGACGCCCTTCCTGCCGCCCGCCGAGCTGTACGCGCGCGGCCCTCCGCCATCGCCCTCGCCCGGCACCTCGCCCGCCTCCGCCTCCGACCACACCAACACCGACGGCTTCTCCGACTAGCTCGGGCGCCCCCTGCCCCCGCGCAGCTCGCCCTGTGTGCGTTGTTCTTACTGTTGAAACTTATTGAGCAACATGGACATAAGGAACGCAGTGTCGTAGTGAAGTAAAATGCGTTCGACATATATTTACACAAGTAAACATATTAAAAAAAATAGTGAAAAACAGTTTGTATAGTTACATAGCGTAGTGATATTTAGTCGTAGATTTCAAATTATTTTAGCAACAAATGTAAATATACATAAATACGTAATGACATTCCCAGTGGAATCATTCGCTTTGTAAATAATGCAGACAGACTACAGATACCTACATATATATATATATATATATGATTATGATACGAGGAACTAGTGGTAGTGAGCGTGAGCTACGTCTACAAGTGTTGATGACATTTCATGTATCAGTATTCAGTATGAAGCTGCAGTTGTCTCTGTGTGCGTGTGTGTGTAAATATTATATAGTAGCCATTCAAAGATATACAAATTCATTGTGTAAGTTTGCTTTACCATAAATAATGAAATAAATATTATATATGAGAATAATGTATGTGAAAAATGTGTTATTTTTGATTTATCTTTAGTTTGTGATTAGTGTTGTATGTATGTATGTATGTACACGTGTAATAAATACTACAAAGTGCTGCTAGAACATTAGCTGGTAAAAAAATGAGTCGGCGCGGCGCGCGGTGTGTCCCCGCCCCATCGCATGCGCCGCAACGCCTTAGTATTCACTTGTACTGAGCTGCGCCGCGACTCGACACAAAAATAAATACAAATATCGAACACACGAGTCTATTATTTGAAATTCCTATAACACTGCACCCACCGCTATGTTGCCTGTTCCTAGTCCGCCCAATCACTTAGTAGTGAGCCTTAACACCACTTTCACGTCACGCTGTCACGCTGGCTGCCCCGAAACTTCATGCCGGGTATCATGTTAAACGCCGCGCCGTCTGTCACGCTGGCTGTCACGTCGAGTGTTGCACAACTGCGGAACGGCACTAACTTGACTATAGCTCGGGGTGATCGTGTATAGGACGCATGTTGTCCCGCTGTTTCGTCGTCACGCTGTCCACTCGGCGGGCTTAAGTGTCCGCAACGTCACCCTCAGTGACTCACTGAATAGATCTCAGAGCTGGCAGTTGATTGAAAGTCATGAGAATTTTTCATCGTGTCAAAAGACTCTGTCAAATGTTATGTCGGTCAAAAAATAACCGATGAAGTATAAGATAACATAGAGCAGGACCATCTCTACCATGTTTATTTATTCAATAAAAATAACAAACTATTAGATGTATAGATACGAGTATGTAGCTATCTATTAAAAATGTAGGTTGTAATAACTGAACTTCAGTAAAAGACTGATCTTTCCTCGATGTCTCATGTCCATTTTCACCAACAATCTCATAAATTGTGCGGCTCCCTTAACTAGTACTTAGGGGACACTTAGTAAGAATTTGGTTTTCACCAACTTTTAGGTGTCACTTAAGTTCATTGTTTTGCTTTAACTTGGTAGGGCATTCGGAGAAAACAATACAACTGTGATACAGTTTTAGATACAAGACGATCTGAGATTAGACCTTTGTGTAGTTGTCCAATGATGATCAGCTTGATGACGTCATGATTGTTCATGTGCACTGACCATTGTACAAGTCAGGCGATGTTATCCGTCTCCGACTGACCGTGTGCAGTGTGCAGTGTGCAATGTGCAGTGTGCAGTATCGACTTGTAGATAACACACAATAGCTCCGCCGCTTTGTCTTCAGACACAGCTCGCTGCAGAGCTGCATGTGGGTCCGGCATAGCCTTTGATTGTCTCCTAATGGATTGTGTTGTGTCTTTGAGTGCAGATACGCTGAATTTGTGTGTTTAATGTTAACATCACTCAAATGCGGGTGTTCAAGACAAACTGAATCTTACATACATAGGTTAGTAATAGTTTACGATGGAGGCGTCGCATGGTGTTGGCACTGTGCGGCGAACATCAACTAACTATTCAATATTTTTTTGTTTATGCACCAATACTTTATACATGTTGTGTTTGTCTGTAAGTGAAATTATATGTTTCCTGAAACCTCTTGTTGAATAGTGCCTAAAATGTATATAAGAACACATGTACTTTTGTTGACGAACCAAATAAATAAATAAAAATAAATAATAGTTACTGCTCAAATTAATTTGTACGAGGGCAACTTCTTTAACATTTTCGGGTTTAATGTGATGTCATGTTAATATAAAGTTATATATGCGTGTGACACGGCACCGCAGTCAGCAGTCAGCAGTCAGCACAGTCAGCAGTCTGCAGTCAGCAGTCAGCAGTCAGCAGTCAGCAGTCAGCACAGTCAGCAGTCTGCAGTCAGCAGTCAGCGGTCAGCACAGTCAGCAGTCTGTGGACAGCAGGAGCGGAGAAGCGCGGTGTCGCAACTTTTCATATAATTCACCTGCACAAGTTAACACGTCGCGGAGGAGGTGTAAAGCGCGGGGACGGCGGTATGCCACATGCAACAACACATCAATGTTTCTCCATAATCACCAATCATCAAATATCATGGAATCTGTGTGCTGAATATTCTAGTAAAAAATGGCGAAAGGATAATAAATATTTATCAGTGAATAAAAATAATGTCAAAACATTATTCTTATGACGGCGAAAGAAAGAAAGAAAGTGAGCGTCAGCTAATATAACTATAATTTAGTAAAGAGTGCAACTATTAGAAAGCCTCAAAATGTTCATCGGCGTAGTGCGGTGTTGCATAACGCGATCCTGCGCGAGGCAAAGTAGCGAGAGCTGCGGGATAGAGAGACAACATCATCCTGTCTCACTCGCACCTCTAGATACAGATCTGATTGAAATCGCTGGCAAAGTTTTTATAAACTTTTTCCTAAGAATCAATAATTCACTTCTATGTAAAATTGTCGTATCTCGTACCTACGTTAAATGATCTTCACATACTATTATATATTTGTATTTACAACTGAAACATTGTGTTAATATATATCTATTATAATAATCTGAAGTATTAGAAATAAGTCGACGGATTACAGCGAGCGTTTAAGTTTATTGTAAAGTTTCTTTATGTTAACCAAGAAATCAGTCATGTTGCAGTATCAAATTATTTTGTACTATTTGAACATAAGTAAGCGGATTGTATAAATAAAACCGATTCAGAGCTTGTTTCACATCCAGCTAATAAAGTTCCTGATAGAGTAGCTTTACAATTACTTTTCTGGGTGTTATTTTTTCATGTGCCTGAAAAAAAAACGTACCTGGATTTTTTTAAGTTGTAACAGTGTTATGTATGAACGTACGAACAAACATCACGTCTCCTGTAAACGCCTAATGAGATATCGAGTTGTTTATTTATTGCTAAACAGCAAAAATTGAATAAATATATAGTAAAAAGCTGTGTGCGACTACGATGTAGCGAGCTCCGAGCCTTAATTCGTGCCATTTATTGTTTTGTTTGGCAAACGTTCTTCCCACAAGAATTAAATTTAACAATCATTAACTCAACCCTAAATCTGATCGATTTAAATTTAAACAACAAGAACAGGTCGCGCGCGCGCTCGTGACACGTGACCCACCGCCGCCACTCCTCATCTCTGATTAGCGGACTTTGAAAAGTTGTGGTCGCGACGCAAATGCAGTCCTAATCTCCTGACGACCAAACTTGTGTGACGCACGACACGGGTCACTAGGACCTACACAGAGGCCGCTACTATCGCCTGGTTGGTTCCGTCTGTTGCTAACATTGCGTTTGTTCCGAGCGAGTTGCAACTGATTGCAACTGCACATACATGGTTAATCTCTAGATCTCACAAACACGCTTGTTAAAAATTAAATTAATAAATGCACATACGCATTATACTTTTGTAACTACGCAAATAAAATAACTGAAATATACATTACCGAGAATATAATACATATAATGTAGAAGCTTGATAAATAAATAAATAACTGCCTATTTAACTGATAAAGAATTTAGATAGCTGATCTGATACAAAGCTGTAGTAGATGTGGGCAAAGGTTTACTACGTTGTTAAATAAATGGATTAAATATATCAACTCTAACAATATGTCAACAATACATCTAAAGTGTAATGCAGCGAGCTAATGCCCGCTAAAACATCCAAAGATAAGATTACGAAGTCCATGCTGTCTCTGTCTCACCTAGTAGGAATGACAAAGAGATATGTAGTTCTATAATAGTATTGTTGTGTTTGCAAGTTGTAACATAAGCGATAGTTTGTGCGGTTCACAGAGGCACCGCCGTGTCGTACAATCGTAATCTCAGCAGATCTAAGTGTTTCCCACGCGCTCACAATGGCGGTAAAGGATAAGCCGGTAGGGAGGCAGGTGCCTCACAATTGCATTGTGCTGCTCTCATGGACCTGATAAACAAACAAACTGATACGCCCCCGCCTCCAGCCTCTTATACTTGATACAACCTCAACAATGGCAAGGGTTAGTTCAGATAAAGAGATTGTCAAAAGTATCATGTCACGTTGCTGTCAGACATATTATAATGAGTTGTAAGAACATGGCTGCTTTTTGAAATGATAATCGTAAAGAGCTTTAGGAGTTTATGAAAATATAGAGGCTAAGGAAATGCAAGCAAATTCAATAGGTACGAGTCATGTCCGCAGTGTGCTGCGTATTCACCAGAAATACTGTGAATGTGAATCAATACTTTGAACAGATCAATAATTTCCCTCCATCGATATCGGAAGCCAAATGTTCGTATGGCGACCTTTGTGTGGCGACCAGCGGGACGCGGCCGCGGGGACGCCGCGCCGGGGCGCCACACGACGCCCATTGACTGCGGCAACTACCTACCCTCTGAGAACCACTCCATTAATTGTTTTATAATTTCCATTATTTTATTAGAATTATAACAATGGACCTCTTAATAATTGTTATCGAATAACCCTCGAGATTCAGACAAAGTTGCAGTGCGGTCTGGTGTCGCCGGGTGCAGGCGAGACTGCGCCCTGTGCCGAATGCGGAGCGGTGTGCTGTCAGCACCGCGCCGAGCATAGCGCAGGCCCCGCACACCGCCTCACCGCCGCGGCCGCTCAACTCCGCGAATAATGGAAATAAAGAAAGTTGTGTTAAAAATATTTAACGAGCAGTGGCTTTGTTGGCTTTGTTTGGGGCGTGGTTACTTTAAACCGATTTCGGTAATTAATAGGGGAAGTTGGTCGCCGCTTTACAATTGCCTTTAAATATCGTTATATAAAAAAGCTGATAGTAGTTATACGAGCTGGAAGTGATTTATAATGAACAAGCTTTGAATTAAATACAAAGAAAAGCCTTGGTTTAGTATGTAGGTACATGC